ATATTATGTTATATCTAAAAAGAATTGGTTGATTTGCCAATTATAAATATAAAATTACTAGATTAATTAAACTTTTCGTCACTATATTTAACAAAATTATAAAAGAAAATATCGCGCATCGCGCCAGTCATATTTTAGTTATTTTAATGAGATTATTCAATTCATTAAAAAATCCAATATTAAGTATTTTTTTTCCCAAGTTTTCTTTTCATCCTGCATCGATTATAATAGCAGTGAAACAAGTGTTTTATATATACAATGATTGTCTCCTATAAGATATGGATATGATAGATAGAAGATTAGCATGGTCTTTGCGCAAGGATGACATGCATAAATTAGAAAATGGACCAATTTTTTTTTTTGTAAAATATTCTGAATCGTTATTTATTTATTTTTCCAATTTTCGTTTTTCAATCGTTAATCGATTTTTTGGATGGATATCTGCAGACAATAGCTCCAAAATTATGAAACTAGTTCTAAATTTTTGAATGTTAATCGAGGGTCGAAGTCAGTGAATACACCCTTAGTGGAAAGTCACATAATGGTGAAATCTTTTTTGCGATTCTTCAAGCTTTCAGCATTCATAATAATAATCTTAAAATGTAGTATCTTAATGGAAGCTAAAGTTTCAATTCATTGTATAAAGGAAATTAAAAAGAATAATAATTCAAATTCCAATTTCTTTTTTTTTTAACATAAACTTGTGCAGAAAATACCGTTTAAAGAAAAAAAAATTATGACTAAAATACTAACCAAAAGTCTTTGTTTAGATCTAATGCCACATGAGAGTACTAGCTATTCTCAAAACTTTGTTTTAAGAAATGTTTGTTTTAGTGCAAGGGTTAGTTCCTTTTTTAAGTTTCATTTGTTTTTATTTTTTGTGTATTGATTTCGGACGAATTTATTCTCGTACCGGCTTTTGGTTCCAGACGAATTTGTTTCCGTACCGGTTCTTGCCTCCATATGGATTTGTTTTCATGCTGGCTCATGACTCATGTAATATCAGGTTCTAAAGTATCAATAAAATCTATCTACATGAAAAAAAAAATATATATATAATCCAAAGTTCTAATTTCCAACTTCCAAATACCAAAACCACAAAATATCCAAAACGAACCGATCTAAACCGAAATAACCAAATTTGCACCCAGGCCTTTATAATTTTCCCAAGGAAAATATACTTCGGCTCTGAAGCCATGGCGATTCTCCTGAAGCCAATCCTCAAAAATCAAACCTTTTTCAAGACTCTCTTAAACCCTCACATTATTACCAGATCCCTAACTTCATCAACAGAAACTCACAAGAAACCACTCTCTGTGTTATTCGAAGAAGTCGTAGGATTGAGACCTAAACCAGAAACAAGCGAAATCGAAGAAGAAGACAACGAGTTAAAGAGAAAGCTTTTGGAATTAGAGAAGAAAATCATACAACTGAAGAAATCAGAACCCTTGAGAGAGAAGAAGAAGAAAGTGAATGTTGTTGTGACATCAGAAGACAGAACAGAGAAAAGGCGTAACCTTTACAAGTTGTTTAAG